TTCATGTTGCTGCTGATCTGTTTCATGTTGCTGCTGATCTGGTTCATGTTGCTGCTGATCCGTTTCATGTTGCTGTGTTCATTCGTGCTCATCTGCTCACACAGACTCATGTTCGTGCTGCTGTTCGGTGTACTGTTTTTATTATTTTTATGCTATGAGTGCTTAGTGTATATTTAGTTGATGTTTTTCGTAGTTCATATCTTAGATCTTATTACTGTTTTTCTTATACATTTTATTGTGGGATGTAACTGGGACCCTGTGTACATAATCTCAAAGAAACTCTGACTCTGACTCACAACATGCACAAATGGACGGGCGGATGAACAAATGTAGGGTATTTCCAATTTCCCTCTTCGCTTTGGCTTTGCGATGGGTGACACAAAATAGCAATAAACAGAAGTTAAATTTCTTAATAGAGATATTGCTATCATCTGGAATTTAATTTTTACCTGTCCGTAGAAATCTGCTGAAGGAGACGATCTGGATCTCTCATGAAAACAGGTGGTCTTCATTCTATCCTCTGGTCCTGGATCTAGAATATTATCAGCTGAATGAGATCGTCCTGAGGCTTTATTCTCTGCAGGTTTCCTCTTTATATTCCATCTTGCCTCATACTCGGCAAATGTGCCGAGTCTCTGGGAATCTTGAAAGGACTGAGTATAGTGAGGAACTCCTGGGGCCTCCTCAGCGTCCATGACTTCTTTCATTGCGTTCTCTGCAGAGCTGCAAGAAGCATGGTGTTCACCTTTGTTCTTGGAATGACTTTGAGGGGGTATCGGATTAGGAAATTCGGGCTTCATGCTTTCTTTCAAAAAATATTGGTGATCTAGTGAGGAGCTGACATTTTCAGTGATAGTCAGACTTTCACCAACCCCGACTTCATGGATTTTGTCTGGTTCAGAAAAAGACAGAATCTTTTTTTCTGAAGGAAAACGCTTCCGACTACCAATCCGTGTTACCTGGCCACAAGAAAGTCCTGAATTATTTGACTCTGTGACAGATGGAAGAGGGGTGACATCTTTTCGAGCCTGTGCTGAGGATGTGTAGCTGGGTTGGACCTCAGCTGCAGGGTGCTCCTGTAAGACAGGCTCCAAGTCTTTCCTCCTAAAAGAAGTTGCCTTGAGCACCCTTGCTTGTGCTTCCTTCAAATGATCTTTGTAGGCGTTAGAAAAGCACCCACCGGCAGATGCTGGGGTGGAATTTTCAGTGGACTTCCAGACATTTTGGTCTTCCTCCATAGCGCATTCAGCATCAGGGAGGGTAGCTGCACTCTTACTTTTCTGCAGCTTTGCTTTTCTCATCTGGATTTCATTCCTCAGTGTGGTGGCAAATCGGCTGTTGCGATTTACCTGCTTGCCTTCAAGGAAGTCCTCAGAGTTTGTGTCTCTTGCTTTCTCTTCTTGGCTTGTGACGTCCATGGACAGAGAGTGAAGCATCGGGGTGATCTGAGGGCAGATCTTGTTCACTTGGTTATGATTTCTAGTGTCTTGAGGCAAATCTCTGATCTGTGTAGTGAGAGACTTGCGTTGTTCAGGCTGTCTCTTAGCGAGATTACTAATGTACAGACATTCTGTAGTTTGTATGTTGTGTCCTTTCTGACCTACATAATCAGAACTGGGTGTAAGTCCAGATGTTTCGGGGACAGTAGTGACTTGGTGCTTGCTGTAAGCACTACTATCTTTACTGTGTGAGGAGTGTTGCTGTTGCTGAGACAGATGATATTTGACTCTAGTGCCTGCCTGTGCTTTAAAAGTGTGCTGTTCATTTTCTGCTTCACCCCTTCTGTCCTCTGCTACATCAGACATCGACATGCGATTGTGATGTGTGGGCTGACCTGTAGTGACACAGTAATATCGACTAGACCCAGTGCTGTCTGTGTTTTGGTCAGTGTTTGAAGAAGACAGGGAGGTACTTAAGTTCTGTCTGTGGTCCTGCGTGAAGTGTGTTGACCCATTAGTGGGCAGTGAGACTGAGTAAGAACTATCTTCAGTTGGTGGCTTTGGAACAGATATGGCCCAGGTCAAAGGATGAGAAGTGCTTTTGTCACTTTGGTGACTGTGTCTGTTGTGGGGGTCATGGCCTTGCTGCACAACACTGAAGTAGGAATGTTGCTTATTTGAGCTGGAATGGGTGTGACTAAATTTATCAGATGAAGTATTAACATTTTCACTATGATTTTTATGGAAATTGTGGTGATTTTCGTGCGAGTCAGGCCCTTCTGGATGAGCAGAAACTATTCCTCTTTCATGCACCTTTGTTACAGCAAAGCTATCCCTGCGTGCTGGTGGAAGTGGAGGAGGAGGAGAGGGTGAAGCAGGCTTTTTGTTCTCAGGGACATTCCACACAGGTCCAAAGTTGGATCTGCTGGAAGTGGAATGGCGGCAACCAGTCGAGTCTTCAGTCTGTGGACCACTGTGGCCTGAGTTAACTCCTGGCATCTGGAAATATGCGAACCTATCATTGTGTTTCACCCACTCAGGAACCAAGCTCTGGCTGTTTCTGACATCATTTTTCTTTGCTCCTGCATCCCACTGAACAACTTTAAAAGGAACATTTTCTGTCGAGGCAGTGTTGCTTTTTGTGCAGTCTGGTGTACTGGAGCTTGTGGAGATGGTGCTATAGGCCGAGTCTCGTTTCCGTTCTCCGAGATGCTCCATTCCATTGTTTGACTTAGCCGGTGAAAGCTGGTCAGCAGGGTATGAGTGGGAGACATGCTCCAAGTTGTCCGTGCTGTCAAGAGAGCTGAACTGGTTGGACACACTGGGCAGGTCTATCAGCTCCCAGCCAGAGGATATATCAGAAGCAGATGAGCTGAAGGTTAAAGGAAAATACAAAAGTAAGAAAACAATCAGTACAGCACAGAAAATGGAAAAAAGTGTATCTTCTATAGAACATAAAATACAGTTAGAGAAAGGAGAACAAAATATACGTATTGTACACAGACTAAGTAATAAAATCTAACACTTTGAATCTAAACCCCTTGAGCCCAAAGCTGAAACTTATAGCAAAACTTGAGGATCTCAGTTTTACCTTGTGTCATTTCTGGGTGTGTATGAAGACTGTCTTTTGCCAGTTTCTGATTGGCTTTCATTGAACTTAGTAGAGTGCCAGGAGTGAGGCCTGTTTACGGGTTCATTCCTCCTGCAGAAAAGCCAAACACAGAGAGAACTGAAGAACAAACTCCGTATGGAAAACTGCTTCCTTACATACATATAACTTTTCTTTCTCATAAAAAAAAAGCAACAAAAAAACTACAACAACAACAACAACAACAACTACTACTACAACAACTACAACAACAACATATGAACATGCTAGATATACAATTTGAAACAAACTTTGCAGATTTCTGATGTTGAAACTTGTGAAATGTTGGTGAGCTCCTAAAGGTCATTGGTGAATACAGCGCAAGTTCAAAAATGTTTAAAAATGGGCATTTAGAGAAGAAAGAGTAGAGATGATGTTTCTATTTAATGGTGTCAGTAATATATCATATTTTTGAATAACTCCATTAATCTTTAAAGTAATGAAAAATTGAAGATTTTAAAATTTGTTTTACCAGTAGTTTGTTAAAAACATTTGTAGTAAAGGTTGTCAGTAAAGCATAAAAACATACCCTTTAAAACAGTTCTTTCTGGGATAGCATGCCAAAAAACAAACAAACAAAACAAACTCAAAATTCTAATAAATATTGACACAAAGCAAACGAGACGTAGATTTTATGTTCTACAAGAATGATGAACATTATTTATCCATGGACATGAATCAAGTCAGTGCTCAGACATGCCAATAAGGACGAGTGATGATCAACAAGAAAGATGCAATGAGAGAAATGACTGAAATAATGACTAAACAAGTTGCTTATATGGCAACAGGGATGAGACAGGCATTATGGAATAGAGGAAGACATGTACTACTTCTGCAGGGTGAAGCTACAAAACCATACCTCATGGAACTTCGCAAAATCTTCGTAAGAAAGCTTCTTGCCACATGCACGTCATTCTCTGAGGGCATTTTTTGAGCTACAAAATCCACCATGTTCAAATTCCTGGGCAGCAAGGGGAGGAACACACACACAAACACACTAAGAGCTTACCAACAGCGTGCAGGACAAACGTCACCTTACATTTACCACGAATGGAAACGTTGTGGACAGCATAGTGCTGCAGAAATATAATGTCAAATTTTCAAAAACTCACTAGGGAAAAAGAATCCTCTTCTATTTAATGACAAATACAGAGGAGTAATGAGGTGCTGATAAATAATGTTATAGCTCCCTCTCCTGGTCAAAATAACCAATGTTTACCGTGTTCAGCCAATACATACTATAGGAGAAAACTCACAGGCAGAGAAGTGATTTAAAAAAAAACCAAGAGCAGCGCAGCTAGAGAGTCAGCTCTTCCTGAGTTCAGTATCAGAACAGGACGTAGCTGAGGTGTGCTGGTTGCTCTCGGACTCGGCCATATGGTCTCAGGGGGAGCATGGCCCAGCATGTGGTAGGCGGATTAAGAAAATAGAGACTCTCTTGTACAGTCAGATCAGTGATCGCACCAATTTGTTCAAGCTGTTGTCTGCATCCCAGACATCATTTTAGTCCCCAATAAAGCCCCGAAACCACAGGATAAGGTCACTTTAAGGATATTTTGTGGGGGAAGAATATAATTAGGACTGTTAAGAAATCACAAAAATGGTTAAATTGGACGGTTTCTTTTTGGAAGAAACATATCATCTTTTATCCAAAAGACTTCATCAGTCTGAGGCCTGCCCACAAGAACTGTCTTATAAATAGCACCTTATTGATGTGTTTCAACAACATCAGCAACACTACCAGTCTGATAAGAATGCACATCAGTGACTCTCAGGGGTGAAAGTAGTTTTAAAGTCTTGCCGGTACTATGACAAAAACTATATATATATGAACAGATCAACATTTTACATTTACATCAAGGAACTGAGATGTATGAATCACTGACAAATAATTTTCTGATGCATTACAATGTTCTCATAGGACAACCAAGCATCAGACAAAACTTTTGCTCTAAACACCAATTTATTAATGTTGAACAATACCAGGGCAGCTCAACACTTTTAGTCCATCAACCCCCCCCCCCCCACACACACACACACACACACCCAGAAAGCCATCTGGTAACCAGAAAACACCTCCTAACTTAAAGGAACGTAACAGTGCAACAGCACTAATGAACATCTAATAATAATTTTGGATAATAATTATTAACAGTAATGAATGAATTATGGATCATTACAACATATACATAAAACATAAAAATGTAAGTGTTTGCTTTAACAGGTTTATGTGAAATTTTCAATATTACAACTGCAACTAACATCCATATTTGATACCTGAAATTCCGACAACAGTATAACATAAATTGATAAGAACAGTTAGTTGTGAGCAAAACCCAAACGTGGATCTACCCCTCATCAAAACATAACACCTAAAAGATTTTCCACAGAGATCTAAAGTAGTTGTCCTCTTCAGAGTGTTGGCATGTCAAACCACTTGTTGCACAAGCTGCTTTTCTTCCTTTGCCCAGCCAGGTCTTCACATAAGACACTGTGTCCCACAGCATGCATGGTGGTCCAACTGAGCTGACAAAGAGGAGGTTTGCAGCAGTCTTGGTAGTCATTTTGCTCCTGTCCTCAGTGATGATATTGTTCATGGTACTGAACCCACGCTCAGTCTGCATTACTTGCTGACAATGGATCCACTGCCACAAGCAATTTCTTCATCTTGTTAGGAATGCTTCTTCCTCCACTTGCCTTGTATTCAATGAATCCAAGGTGGGCCTCGTGTTCGTTCAGATATAGGAGATGGCACAAAGCCCTTACCTCATATTCTCCATGTCGGGGATTGTCATTGTCCCACTTGTCAGGGTTAAGGACTGCCATCTGCTGTAAGTTTCTTTTCTGTTGGCTGTGACACTGGCCTGTACTTTGTTAGATGCAGTTGTAAAGAGTCTGTCTTTCAAACTCTCTGCCACTGCTTGAACAAACTGTGCAGAGTCGATGATGGAAGATCTGCCAACTCTTAACTGTACTCCTTTAAATTTCATCTCTTCCTCTGCCTGGCTAGCTTCAACTACATGTTGTCCTGGGTATGAACTAAGACTTTCAATGTGTTTGACATACACTGTCATGATCTCATGGGCCTTTGGGAGTGTGGTCTTCCTGTTCTGAAGAAAGTTCAGTCAGAACATCTGTCATTAGTGCAAGCATTTGATAATACCTCAAAAATTATACCTCATTTGTTATGATACGTTGAGTACAACCAAATCTACAGGGTAAAATGTGTCATTAATTATGACATTTAAGGCAATAGGAAAATCAGTGGGACTCACTCAGTTTAAAAACTGTGATTGAACATGCAGCTAAGCAGACAAGCACAAGTTTCAATAAGAAAACACCAATAAAATAGAAAAAAACATAAGGAAAATGTTTATATTGCACATCATATTCAATATATTAAAACATTTAGTTAAAATACGGTTTGCATTTTATGCATATTAATATGCAGATTTAATATGCAGATTATTTAACAGTAAAGTCAGATGAAACACTATATTTTATATTAAAAAGTCAAACAGTCTTTCACTTTAAATTTTTCTAGATTTGTTGCACTTGTTGTTCTATACAAGATGTAATATATTTTCTTGTGATTTGACCTTGACCTGGATGGTCAAATATACGCCCAAGTTCACAACATTAGAACTATACTAACCCAGATAGCTAAAAAGAAAACCATAATATGTGGGGTATCACATTGAAGCTGTGACCAACAGGAATCCAATGAAACATCTCTAAACAACACTATTTTAAAGTCCAGTAAGATAAGGCCGAAAAAACGTAATATCTGGAAATGGAGGACCGCTCCTCCCACAGCGCTGGTCCTCAAAAGGTGGTTGCTGATGCAGTAAAGTACATCAAATCTCATTGTATATAAATATTACAACCTGTACAATGTGCTAAACACACTTCTAGATATGCTACATAAGGAACAGAGCTTTAAAAATTGAGTTGAAATTCACCTTGTTTTTGAAAAACCGATAGCTTTGTGAAAACTTGATAGAAATTGATCCGGACAAAAAAATCAAGCCAGACACCATGGCAGGAAAGTAATGAATTCAAAAGCAAGCTTTTCATCTGTTTTTTTTTTTTTTTTTACTCGAAGCGAGTGGTGAATTAAAATGGGAATGATGTCACCAGAGGAGGTGCTGCGCGCTTGAAAAGCGAGGGTATTTCAAAGTGCCTAAAGCTAGAGAACTGAGGCTACAGCATTGCACGAACAGTTCAGAAACAATTTGAAATGAGGAAAAAAAAAGTTATTTATTAAATGATTGTTGTATTTTAGACTGCGTATTGCTAGCGAATCTATTCTGACCCAAAGTGCAGCTGTGACTGGTTCTGAATGACGGCTTTACAGCAGACAGCCACCCCCCTCTCTTCCTGGTATGGGCTCTTTGCACGTACGGCGCTGACATTACAGCCACATGAGCGAAATGCGACTTGCTAGCTTCCGCTTTTGAAGAACTATGACAGCTAGGGAAGATAAACTCGTGTTTCAGAAGCAAGTTAACCATTATCATGAACGCTGCTGTGTCCCTAAGTGCACGGCATCTTCCAAGTATGATGGTCTTTTAAGTTTCCACAGATTTCCAAGCGATGCTGAATTAAGAAGATGGTGGTTAGTGAGTATTCGTCGGGACAAGTTTAACGTAACGCCACACAGCAAAGTTTGCAGTCTGCACCTCACTCCAGATCAGCTTGTTCAGTCTAAAACTGCTGGGGGGAGAAGGACGGTAAATAAAGGAGCTGTTCCTGTATTGTTTCAATGGAACGACAACTCTATTCAACCAATGGACGGACGGACGGACGTCCATCATCTTCCACTTGTTCCGAAGTCAGGTCGCGGGGGCAGCACCTTGAGCAAGGAAGCCCAGACATCTCTTT